GTAAAGAGACAGCGAACTGCTTTAACTGTTGTGGGAGCAACCAAGACCCCGTAACGCATACACTGGCGGTTTGCCCAGCGTGAGAAATTGAACGGTGTATCCAGTAGGTTTATTGGGCGGAACTGTCTATGTCAGCCGTCGTGCCGGCGGTGTTAAGCGGTGTGGCGTAGTAGGCTCTAGGCCCCCCTCGTGAGACGAATGAGCAAAGGAGGCTGCTAAGGATAGAGAGGATAGATAGGTACCGATTCGGATACGGCCGTCAATAAATGGTGCTCTTATACCAGAAACAAGCCTCAGTACTCGCGGGCACCTAGGCCACAAATTAGTGGTTCGGAGTGACCCTGAGACATCTGTTAATAATTGTCCCTTGAGAGGGCTATCCGTGAAAGGCCAGATATCCATATTTATGTGGTAATCGTCAATTTACGCCACGAAGCCCACTTATTCCTTATATCTAATACTAATTTATGCCGCTGTTATTCGCATGTTTCGCATATTTTGCGGCATCTTATGTAACATGCGTATAATGTTGCGTTGGTGTAAATTATTCATGATCAATTTGCATCATTTTTTTATGTGAGAAGGTGGCAAACAAGCTGGCGGTTCATCTGAGGCATAATCTGCCCTCAAGATGAAATTTAAAAGTTTACTCAATAGTTCAATAGATAAATTGTTATACCCAGAGCGATCAAGTTCGAATCCCGGCACAGTACCTCAAAATATTTTCAACTATTCATTATTTAAACTCACAATCAAATCTGTTACTATGTAACCTGGATGGCATCGAAGTGAAAAATCACTGTGAGAATATTACGACTCCGTGAGGCTGTCGCATAGATATTGGCCGTGGCCGGGCGCCTTGGTTCGATTCCCACACGAGACAAATATTTGTGTTCTGGGTGAAATTAACGAATGTAAAACGTCCTTACAACATACGTTATTCCGTATTGGTAAGGACGTTTTACATTCTAGGCTTAATGGCAATGTTTTCGAAGGGCAGACTACAATACATCTTAGTCGCAGTATTCGTTGGAACGTAGTACCCAAGCCCTTCCACACAATATACAAATACCACCAGGATGGAAGATTTTACGGTGGTTGGAGTTTACCCAGCACTGGTATATAATTAGGCTGTTAGGCACTTTACTATTTTATATAAGTTCGATCTACTGAAAATATTTCTTTTGTTATAGTTTGGGTGTTTATATATGTATAATATAATATTCACAAAAATAAAATGTATATTTATTAATTACCTAGTACCCATAGTACATTTATATAGTTTGGGACTAGTTGAAGTTGTGTAAGAATATATCCCGAAGTATTTATTTAAGGTAATATATTATTTTCCTCACCAGCAAGCAAAGTTTTTGAAGCCCATTACCCACCTTTCAATAATAATTACATGTCAGTGCCTGAACGAAATATAATAAATTCAGGTAAAGGCGCTTCGCAATTGACCTAAATTACTCGGTAATTGGATTAGAAAAGTGTTAAGAAAGTATACGAAGTTAACCTTTTGTTTTTGTATGACTTGTAATTCTGCACAAGTTACAGTCTTAATAATCCATTAATATAATACAGTTCATAATTCAATATTAAGCTACAACATATATAAACTATTAGAAATATAAACATTTTCAAATATAAATTTATTTATTTATCTATTTTAGATCAGGAACTGTACAAGCTTATATTACTTTACTATACGCTTTTTTCCAAAATATAAAATATTTTTTATAATATCAACACAAATTATAATATTATATTTATATTTGCTATGACTCTGACGGCGCGAATGGGGCAGGTAGGTATAGGTAGGAAATAGTTTGCTACCTGCCGCTTATATGCCTTGGCGATACACTTCTTATTAATACCGTCGCTAAAGACCCGTCGAACCAGTTCATGACGCGATTAATACAGATTTTATATATCTTTTGAAGTCCCGTAATGGCAAAGGTGTGCGTAATTTATTTAAAAAAAAGAAATATTTATATAATTTGTTAAAATGCTTTCTGGTACCTACCAGACGGCCTTCCTTTCTTTAAGTACATATATAACCTTATATGTACTTAAAGAAAGGAAGGCCGAATTAGTTTAATAACTATTTAAAAGTAAAAATCATTTACATAAACAGCTCATCAAAAAAGGCAAAACAACCTTAACGCTGTCATGACACTTTCTAAACGATAAAACTTATCAGTCAAGGTCTTTTTTTATTGTAAGTTTTCTAATTAAACTTAAATGTCATTTAGTCAAATGTCATTCAAAATATTAGTTAAATGTCATTCAAAATAACATAACCACAAATTATATTAATAACGAGTTCATTTGGTCTCCTTAGTGATTGTTCTTTCAGTATTCCAACTGTGGTAGGGCAACCTTCCACCCGGTCCATCCGGGGAAGTACTACTATCTCACAGAAGACCGGCGTAAAGTGGACGGGTTACCACCATTCTTCGATTTGTCTGATGAGTGAGGTAACTTGGGCCCACTTTATTAAAAGATGGTAACGCATCTGCAACCCAACGGGTGTTGCAAGTGTGAATACAAGAGGAAGTTATTTCTGTATTCTGAAATTGTACCCAACAATGTTTTCATCTATTGACAATTGATGATAATAGCGATGACGACAACAATAGGTAGGTTCGTCCTTCGAAGTATCCTTGAGCGGGAAAGATCACTTCACACGAGGTGTACCGCGCTCAGACAATTAAAAAATAATAGCAATCGTACCAAAGACGAAGCAAGCAGGCGCTTTGCAATTACAAATCAAAAACTCCCACACATGGTACAGGGTGTACCAATTGTTACCGACATCTCTTAAAAATAAATAGATACGCTCCTTTGAAATTGTTCTTATTACAATTTCGTTCAGCCATTGTTGAAACCTGAATAACGTCGCATTATATACTAATAAACGGAACAGACCAATTGGTAACGCTTTTAAGTCGAGTTTATTGTTATGTATTGAATTCATCGCCGTAAAGAAAAAAATCATTCTTCGAACTTATTGGGTCGCAAAAAAGATGCAATTATATGACAGCGCGAAACAAAAGCATTTAAGTTAAAAAACAAAGATAATAACAGAGTGGAAAAAAAAATATCACTCGACACCTTTATGATTTTTTTTTGCGTGGACGTTTTGCATTTTTATGGTTCATGAATAATTAAAATAAAATAAGTTGATTTTAAAAAATTCTGACTCGGTCCGGTTAATACCCCGCGCACGTGCGCGCGCAAGCACAAACATAAAAACATCCTATGCCAAAATACATTTATAAGACGATCAATCCGAAAAGGTAAACTAATTAATGCAAATAGGTTTAAATTTTGTTATGTCAATTAATATTGTTCAAAGACACTGGCCTAAAATGACCATTACGACGCAAAAAAATATTTCAAATAAAAATGTGAGTTTAATTTAATAATAGTTTTTTGGTGACGAGTGCTGGTTCCAGTATAAGTAGGTTTTCAGTATATATGTCTTATCTATGGCTGAATAAAAATGTGAGTTTAATTTAATAATAGTTTTTTGGAGACGAGTGCTGGTTTTTTTCACGCTAAGCCACAGATAATACATATATCTACTTACTATACAATTTACTTGGGTTATGGTTATGCCAAACTATTCAGCGCGGAAATGCAGCTAGCGTTCTTGACACTATGCCCCGTGAATTATATTTATTAGATAATATGTAATTAAGTTAAGATTTTAGATATTGAATATAATAATATCTTTTTACTAGTTTAATAAATGAAATGTCTAAAAATTTTTGGCTGGAGTGAATCGCACAATACGAAATATTTTTGAGGTAATTTATCTATTAAACATTTAAATTTCAATTTCATCAGGAATGTAGATCAGCACTAGAAAAAATAAATAAATATATCAAATAAAGTTGTTCAGACGTGAATGTTTCCCCAAGTCGTTCAGAAAAACCATAACTAATAATTTATAGACATTGGTGATAAATTTATGTATTACCATTTTACTTTAATTAAAACTATCGGATCTAACAAAACTAGTTCACTATATACGTAATGACGATCACTATGTAATGACATTTTTCTAATACAAATTAGCTATATTTACGTAGACAATTTAGAGTTACCCAAATTTGTAACTTTGCTGTTATCATATTAGTAGGCGCGTATTAAATACTAAAGACGTAATGCTACTGATAACCGCGACTTCGTCCGCATTGAATAAAGTCATAGTGATTATAAAAACAGTTCTTTCTTAAAACTTTAAAGTGTCTGAAAAATTTAAATTAAAATATAAATTGAAATCTATCCACTAGTTTTTCCGAGATGCGCGCATAACTGCAAAGATCTATCATTTTATTTATATCGATTTATAGTTCGGAATATTTATAATCACAATACAATCTGTCACGGTTTTTAAGATAATTTCTTGTGTTTACGCGAACACTAACCATTGATACATAAAACATGGCTAATTATTTACTAAGAAAGTAAAATTTTAATTAGTTTTAACTATTTTAGGGGTTCTTATTATGCCCTTAATAACATACTTTATTTTTTTGGAATTTTTCATTCATTGGCAAACAACATTTATCGTAAATGTATTCAATTTCGCAGTACCTACTAAATTTTAACTTAATTTAACTTTTTAATTTTAAGGGGTAACAAATAAAGACAGGGAATTTCTTTTTTAAAGTATGTGGACTAGTGTACCTAGTAGCAAATGAATATTAAAATTAAATTATAAATTCTGCCGTATTATTTAAAATTTTGAAAGCATCATTATACCTATCATAAAATATCATGCCTAATATACAATAATTTAGGAATTATTTTTTGAAATTCATAACATTATGAACATTTTAAAGCAAGCCATGTAAAGAACACATAATGCAATTAAGTCGGCATCACTCGGGCTCATAATGATATAACTACTTAAATGTAATCTTTATTGCTACAAATAAGTAAATTTTTACAAATCAGTTTGAATTGCTTTTAGAGGTAGGGTATCAGGATTTTTGCTTTAAAGATGTAGTGGGTTTCTTGGCGGATTTTCGCAGTGCGCGGTAAGCGGCCACCGCTTCTAAACGGGCACGCTCCCTTCGCTGCAATTCGGCTGGTGGCAACACCTGCTTCGCTGGCCGAGGATTGCCACTCAGCAGTGAGCTCAGCAGCAGTTGCTTTCTGCCAGGCTGAAATTAAATACCAGCCACTTGTTAATATGTTTACAGTGCATCTCCTACTAGCTACTTAGTGTAAAAAATAATAATGTATTGTTATTAATTCATAGAATAAATAAAAGTTCATGTTTATGTTTTATTTTTTATTATAGAAGGTTGTTGCAGACGCACTGCCACCTCCACTCTAATCTGAAGTTGAAATTTGTATCATAATATTTGGAGACTTTTCTGGTAATAAGGAAACGCGTAACGAAATCGTGAAAACGTATGAAAAGTGTAGGAGGAGAAGAGTTCAATAACATTTCTGAAAATATCATTGATAATGTGAATTTAATGAAATTGGATTCACTTTGGAAATTTATATGGTCGATATTGATCACTGCAGAATGTATTTATTGGTTTTTAACAGATATCAAATGCCCAAAAAACATTATTACATGTACATAAGTACTTGCATAGTCTTTTCATTACATAAAGATACGAAATAGTCAATAATAAAAAATAAGACGACAATGACGAAACTTGTAGAATGGTCAGACAAAAGACATTTCTTGGACATTGTGTATCAATATTGGCATGGTCTGCACCGAATAAGGTAGAGTATAAAGTTGGATTAGGAAGGGTAGACAATTTTAGGCGTGATTACCCTCGGCGCGCCTTGGTTTTGCTTCGCGTGGCGCGGCAACACTGGAAGTGAGGGTGGCGCGTGGGCCACCTCCCCAAACGACACTCGCTCATAGCGCACACCGTCCACCCCGTCAGCCCATCCCTGGCACAAGGGATGAAAAGAATCACAACCACACATAGGAACAAACAACACACCTTGTCTACTGGCATCAAGAAATGCTTCTCAGCTTGATGTAAATTAATATAATTAGAAAAGTTCCTAACACATGTCTGCTGTTATTGAGCGAGCACCATCCCAAGATGCTTTTTGGCATCAATTAAACTACTATAGTGAGAAAACACCCTATATTTATGACTGTAAGTTCTTTTTAATTATAGTAGTGTATTGACCAACACTGTGGTTATTAAAACTATTTTCAACTGAACCTTGATACCGTTCTTGACACCACTGTTATATTTTCAAGTTCAAACAAAGGGATTAGTCACATAAAAGAGCAGCAAGTCTTTATTTAGCTCTTTGTGTCATCTATAATGGTTCAATGTCCAACATATTTTATATTAAAGAGTCATATAAGATCAATGTCTAACATATTTTTATATTGAATACATTACAAATAGGAAAAACAATTTCATTTTTTAAATGCAAAACTGACTATTGCTTGACTACCATCTCACCTGATGGTATGATGGTAAATAAGATATAAGATTGGAAACACACTCACGCTCAGTAACATCTTATTACTATTGGCTTTAAGACACTAGCATTTTAATCTGATGGGAAAACTGATTACTATCTAATATGCTACCCAATAAAGCACACAACAAACCTCTAAAGCCTTCTCCCTTTTCGCCTTCTTCTTTAAAGCAAGTTTCTGTACTCTGCTAAGTTTAGGTGCAGTCTCTTCATCATTCTCTGTCGTAACTTTTTTCTTCTGCTTTCTTTTTCTGCGCGCACGTTGCCACGCCATTTGCTCGCCTTTTATGTCTTCTGTTTCCATGTCTTCCTACATAGAAGAATTAGTACTCACAAATATTCTACTTCTAATACTGTTATATATATTGATTATATTAAGAGCATGACTAATATTTATGACTGCCATATACATTAGATATACAAATATATTTTTGTTTATATTGTAGTCATCTTCAATACCCACAGTAAAATTTTATTGAATACATATTGTTATGAATATGCAAGATGAAGTTATATGTATAATATTTTTTCCATAAATATTTATCTAAAAATTCACACTTTATGTATTCAATTATTACCTGGGGGCGAAAACCACTCAGGAAAGCGGGTATACCTTGTGCACACATTGTATTGGTTTTAGCATGCTTGACGGAGTGGACCATCCATTTTGTTTGTGCATGATATCAATATGTTTATCTTTATTGTTATTGACAAAAGATTTTCTATTATTTTCATATCAATAAAACATTTACAATTTCTTTATTCTCTATGAATATGAAAGTTACTTACAGGATAATCTTCCTGTAATGTTGGGTTGTGTAAGGTCTTAATCGCACTATTGATCCTAAGTGAAAAACCCCTTCCCGATTCACCTGGCAGTTTCTGCAACTTTGCTATGGGATTCTCATTTTTCAAGCTGATATTGTCCCTATCTGAAAAACAAATATTTAAATTGAAAATATTTGTCTTATTTTTACACAAATATTATACATATATTTAATACAATTACAACTTAAGGAAACTATTTTAAGTCTGTCCCATGAGCATGAATGCTTGAAAGGTTTTGAGACAAAAAAAAATATATAATGGGAAGTGTTTTGTCTTATATTCACTTAAAAATCTTTTTTTCCTTGTGTAATTGATTTCTTTTAAACTTTTATTTGCCAAGTGTTTAAAAACTTTTAAAGACAGTAAATTTTCCATTATATAGCATGTAATAGCAACATTAGTATTCCATGATTGTCAAATTACATAAAGCAATTTTAATCAATGGAGCTTACCTTTCGCCTTCTGTTGATTAATCTTTTTCTTTGACTCATTTGTTTTAGCCGTGTATCTATCTTGGAAAGCAAATAGGCGAGTCAAAGACCGCGGTACTGGTTGCTCATCAGGATCCTTAGGCGGTGCATTTATTTTACCCTTTAATCTAAGTAATAAAAGCCTATATTTTTTGGCATATAGAATTAAAGATAGGAAATATTGTAAAATTCATGACATCAGATACTAACCCTTGTAAACGTCTTGCTTGTTGAACAAGCGGATCTTTAACACCTCTATGTTTCTTAGCCGGAATTTTACGACCCATACTACTCTAATGTGAATATATATAACATATCACAGCAAAGATATGTAGGTTTTGTTCAATTTCCAAAATTGAAAAATAGATTCTCAATTTATTTATGTCAGCTCACAGCATTTGATTTGGTTTCGTTTACATGCACGTGCGACTGCGTCACAGAGTACTTTTGTATAGGGAGCTAAGGACTGCGTAAATGACAAATGACACTTGATCTTGATTGCCATTTGACAATAACAATATGACATTGGATTTTTTACCCCGGTATCGAGGACCTTTAGTTCAAACTCCAAATGTGTCATTGCCTGTGAATCTGTGTAAAATGATTTTACTGTGGTTGGACCACGCAACAGTGTTCACTGTTGCACGAATGGGCAGGTTCGTCCGGGTAAGTACCACAACTTCACAAAAGACCGGCGTAAAGTAGAAGTGTTACCATTCTGTGTTTCGTCTAGTGAGTGAGGTAGTCGGGGTCCACTTTATTTAAATGTGGCAACGCATTTTCAACTCAAAAGTTCATGGGCGGCGGTTATCAACATCAGATCAACCGCCAGCTCCTTTGTCACTTTGTCACATTAAAAAAAAGATTATAATTGTAAGTATAAATAAAGTTTGAAAAAAAATGGACCAAGTGCGAGTCGGACTCACACTATTGTGTACACTGTTGAACGTAGCACATTGGGGTGGAGCCGCAGGCGAAAAGCTAGTGTATAAGCGTAGAAATCATTATAATTTAAATTTTAAGATTTTGTAATAAAATTAAAATGTAACTATTGTTTTATTTAAAGTCTCACAAACAAACAATCACAATTTCCCTACAATCCATACTTTCATTCTTAATATTATAAAATGTGAAAGTATGTTAGTTTTCTTGTTAATGTGGTTTATAATGCTAAGTCAATTGCAGCGTGTCGTCTCTTTTTTTTTCATCTCTACTGATGAAAAAGTGCGAGTGCTTAGAAAACATTCAATTGATGATTGTTCCGAGGTTTCGTACACCGCAGTCTAATAATTTTGAAGTTATATTTCTTTAGACGCGTTATGAAAAAATGATGAGAGTGAAATTTTAAGATGTAAGACAAAAGTCACACCTTGAAGCTGCTCGCTAATTTTAAGTGGTATGAAAAAGCTCATTAAAGAATGTAGATGACGCTTTCATAATTTTTTTTTATATCCTTTTCCAATCTTTTTATTATTTTATTGTAATTAATTATTTGCATGTAATTAAAAGCTATTTTTAGTAACTATTAATGATGCCAAAGAATATATCTTATCACGCGCGTACAAACTTCATTCATTTACTTTAAATAATAATTTTTTATGTATGTGTATATTGCTGTAAACCCGGCGGTTTTGACAGCTTCATCGGAAGGAGTCCGTGGGTAAATGCCCTCTCAGGCAAAACTGCTGATGCACGACGACGACACGATAAAGCCGTCCACTCCATTTCACCACCACAAGCCCTGTTAATAAAACAGGACAATTCAACTAACACGAAGGGGTACGGTACGATCCAAGGAACCCTCAGAGGAAGCTTTGAACCTTGGCCTATACCGTCATAGATGATGGAATCTATCCAGAGAATGTAATAAGGTTGAACATACTAACGTCGATCAATCAGTTACAATTAATTTATAAAAACTTTTAACTATCGAGAATTAATCATTAGGATTAATCAGAACGAGAAAAAGATCGAACTACTTTCTCAGCTCCAACAACGGATTGTTGGTGTCGGACGTGTTCGCAAATAAAATTCATTACGAATGATTAACAATGTTTGTTAATCTTTCGATTATAGTAATAAAATCATGCTGGTTAATAGAAAAATAATGTTATTATTAATAATGCATGAAAATAAACTAAAGCCAGTGGATCTGCTCCATATTATTTTGATGAAAAATCAGCTGATGAATCGTCTCTTCTATGTACGTTACGATTAAAGTGACGTATTTTTTATATTAGGACATACTTAGTTAATAACATCTTTAGAGAAAAGTTTACATGGTATTAATATACCAATACTATCTATGCAATACATACTTAATAGCTTTCAAGAAATTATTTTTTTATATTTCTAACATGTTCATTTTTACTTTTTAATCTGTCATATTTGTGGAGGGGATGACTTTGCAAGCGAATGTTTAAGTTGTGCGGGAGGGGACTTGTTTTTAGCAGCAAACAAGGTCGTTCTTTGTGTCAAAAATTCTTCTTGTGACGAATACTCAGTTTTTATTATTTACATTTAGTAACAGACTGTTATTGTTAAGTAACAAAGGCCATAGTACGCGTATGTCGGCGTTAGATATTAGTTTTTAACGTACTCGTCATTCAGAACGTTCCAATGAGTTTGGGAGGAGGTCACAATACAGACGGATCAAATGCAGGAGGAATATTTGTTCAATTCAATCAAGATTGCACGTAAGTCACTATACCTTTCTACATGGTATATATATTCCAAAAGGTCGAAGATATGATATAATAGTAAACAAAGTAGTACGTGAGGAAATCTATGCGAGTGCTTTTTAAATTTCAAGGTGACAGTTATTGTGATGATGGTCATTAAAATGCGAAGTGTTGGGCCTACTGTCATTGGATGATGCAATATTTCATTGCCAAATATTTCGTAATTAGCTTTACACTTGCCTTCCGTATTGTTATATTTTTGTAACAAGAATATAAACAATCATGGCGTTTTTGGACGAGATGTGTTAACCGTTAATGTCCATGGAAGATTTAGAATTAAAGTAAAAATGAACCTTTTTTCAACATCAGCAATTACAAGTGTTGTTTGTATTTAAAATGACTTTAGTAATCAGCTGATCATAACATACGGATGTAGGAATGGCCTTAGAAATCATGTCAACAAAACCAGAAGGCAAATTCTAAACATCAAACAAATAATAATAAATATTCTTTCTTTACATGTATTTGTTGTATATGTATCCTCAAATACTAATTTCATTAGGTTAATGTATTTATTTTTATCAATGATAAATACCTTACAATTGATGAAATGTAGATTTTTGTTTACTTCAGGTACTTAACAAGTTAACATAAACTGTGAATGCTTTACTTTGTAAGGAAAGTATTGAAAATAGATTTAGTTATTTTATACATTTCAATCCATTTCATTTAATTGTTTTGTGTTAATTGAGTAACTTACCTTCCCCCTGAGTTATTGCTTATGAGATTCCAGTTTGACATTTATATGCATGTGGGCATGGTATTTGCTGGTTTTGGCGATAAACTGTGAGTTTATTGTGGTAACGCTTGTCACATTTTGACATTAAAGATGACATAAGAACTACTTATGACATAGCCCTTTTTATCATAGTCTATCCCATTAAGGTTAGACATGTTCTTGCTGGCTTCAATATTCCATCTATCTGTAAATCTGGTTACTAAAATAAACAAATCCATAGAGAGAAAGGATATTGAAACCAGTCCTAAGTGCTCTGGTAAGTTGGCAGCTCCAGTTTGCCTGCGTTATCCTTCTTAAAGGATTTGTACTGGTGTGGATACTTCCTAACTTTTTCTGAATAAATTGATTGTTGTGTTTACTGCAATTAATAATATTGGATTAACCATCACATGCAAAGCAATTATTAAATGTCCTCGAAAATTTTTGTAATTGTAAGTCATGTATTGTCTTAGTTTAAGTTACATCATGACTTACATTTGTAAATTTGTTTTAGGGTTAAAAATAGAAGAAAAGGAGAATATATTTTAAGCTACCTGTTGATTAAGTGATTTTGGAGAAAGCAGTCTATCAAATAATATTTATTTACAGATCATTGGTTGCTGGAAGCAGTAGCGGTTACCACTTGTTTGCTTTAACACCTGACGATGGAGTGGAGGAGATTTATGCAAGTCGCTCAGGGCAGGACACCTGTCTTGTGGACCGGCTATTTAGCAGCTCCCTTGTGGCGATTGTTACAGTTGCAGCCCCCAGGTTAGTTAAATTAAGAAAGAATCCATTCACTCAGCAAGTGTGACAGACCATTGTTAATTCATATTTACTTAAAACTCTTGCAAATGGGATCATTGTTTTATTGATAAAGTACAGAGGAGTTATTGACTGTACATTGAATTGTCTCATTCATTATAAAAAATTAGTAGCAATGTTGTTGTGTTGAATTTGAGTTATAAGCTATCTTATTCAACAAAAGGATTACATTATTAGTCTCTGTTGTTGAATATATGTTTAAAAGCTATGCAATGGCAATTGGCAGTGATTGCTTCCTTATCTATTAGAAATAGAGGAAAAGGCTGATATGAATTAACAATTAAATATGTTATCCGACATTACATGTAGGAGACCTTGATTAGAATAATCCATTTAAACTTCATCTAAAATGTAAAGTTTTAAGGTATAGTTACTAGTACAACATAATTAATTAATTCTCATATTTCAAGAACACAATGTCAATATAATAATAATGCTTCCTGTTAAGTTAATGATACAAAATCAATATTCAATTTATAAAGGGCTTAAAGTAAGCTTCGAAATGATGTACTGTCTAATTATGTGATATGGTATTTAGGCCTTTTTTACACAATAGCCTGTGGGAACAGTGCCAGGTGTTTCGGAAATTAGGAACGAAAACTATGCTGTGTAGATTTTACTGTAGCAAAACCGCGAAGGCTTAGACACAGCTATCAAGGCCCACTTTATCCAATTCAGCTTGTAATCGCTTCCATTGTGTTTACCCCTTCTTTAATTTATTCATCAACGTCCGTTAAGCGGGGGTCTCGCCTGCATTCGATATTAGCTATCGCGGTGGGTCAGCCTTCCCGCCAAAAACAAAAGGCGGCGCGTATCTTCCAATGGCGTCGATTTCTCAATCGGTCAGTTATCAAATCGCGCGATGTGTCGTACACGTACATTAATCGTAGGCGAGTAACCGCCTAGTCTCTAGGGATGTCGAAAGTGAATAAATATATATATTATAATAATAAATAAAATTAGCAATATTGACCTTGATACATCGAAGAAAAACTATCAATATATCGGATATAGTCTTAGATACCCTTGCCCCAAAAAAGGTACGTCGAAAATCGTATATTTTTTTTTCAAATTATTTTTTTACAAATTTGGATCCGACACAGAGTCCGTAGGTGTCAAATATTTAATTAAGTATTGAATATCATCGATATTGAATATTTTGTGTCGATATATCGGCTGAAAATATCGATATATAGAGTTAAAACAAAAAGATATGTCCTTACTTTCGACATCCCTAGTATTCTCGCGCGTGTATTGTATTTGTACACGCGTGTTAAGGCCCATTTACATGGTGCCAGTTTCTTGCCTGTTGTATACAATTAAATTGAAGCAATAAATGAGTTGCATAGTCTAAGTCAATAATTATTGCGCGCAATTTATTGCATTCAATTATTGCTCTTGTATGTACAAGAAAATGGCATCGTGTAAATGGGCCTTTACTGTTGCGCGGATGTGTGGTACGCAGTTTCGCGCTCTTTTTTGTTTGTATGCGTCGCTTGATCGTCCCGGTATCGCACGATACTACGGACTGCGTCACCGAGTTCGCTATAGAATGAATTTTGTCTATACTATACTAATTTATACAAATTTAATTTCTGCTTTAATTGTACTTTCATATAGTATTTACCATAGCGTCGGGGGTCGTGGGTTCGATTCCTACACGGGACAACTGTTTGTATTACCCACGGATAGTTGTTTAGGATCTGGAATGTTTATCTATATAGACCTGAATCTATATTGATCTTCCAGGTCGAAGTCGTCGTTGGGACTTACTATCCATACATCCTTTCCATACAAAGTTCAAATGGAACAGACCATTGATGTTTATGTCACATTTGACAAACTATTAATTTTTTTTAGCATCGTATAGCATCCACGTAAACACGAACCATCATGAAATTGATTAATAAGTCAGCTTATCCAACAAAGAGATTAATTCATTTCGATCTCTGTTATTGAATAAACATCTGTGTAGTATAGATTACTAATTGGCAATGAGTACATACATTATATATACAATATATAAAATGCTTTTTTGATTATCAATCTTTATTACATAATATTATAAAACAAAGTCGCTCCCGATGTTTGTACGCTTAGATCTTTTAAACTACGCAATGGATTTTAATGCGGTTTTCAGCAATAAACAGAGTGATTCAAGTGGGAGGTTTAAATGAAAAGCCAAGAAATTCAGTACCCATATTGCACCGGTACGAAGCCGGGGCGGGTCACTAGTTAGAATTGAGGAAACATCTGATATGAATAAAAATCCTTGACCTTGTAATAAGCTATGTAGTTAATACAAAATATTTTGAGGAATAATATCAAATTCAAAATAATTAATTCCTTATTTACATTCCCACATTTTAAGGACGCAAAGTTTCTATAACAATGCATAATTTTTTATACCCCAGTCGAGGTTAATCATACAAAATGAATTTTTAAATTAAATTAATTAAAAAATGGTATGGCGGCATTAACTTAGTGATTTTTACTACGACTGTTGAGTGTGGACCTACCACGCAACAAGTGTTGCACGATTGGGCAGCTCCGTCCGGGTAAGTACCACGACCTCACAGAAGACCGGCGTGAAGTGGAAGTGTACAGTGTTTCGTCTGGTGAGTGAGGTCAACGGAGCCAACTTTATTAAAAGGTGGCAACGCATCTAAGACCTTACGGCTGTTGTCAAATGTTGGCAAATGTCTATGGGCGGCGGTTATCACTTAACATCAGATGTAAATCGACGAAAAAACCGAAAATCTTAACGTCTTTCATCTACATTGGATACCTTAAGTGGCATGAAATGGTTCTCGACCCTAGACCTGAAATCTGGATACTGGCAGGTGTAAATTCATCCAAAAGACAAGGAGAAGACAGCTTTCTCGACCGGTAAAGGTTTATGGCAATTTAACGTCATGGCCTTAGGATTGTGCAACGCACCTGCCACATTTGAGCGACTCATGGAGTGTGTACTTGCAGGCTTAGTTGGAGAGGCTTGCTTAGTTTACTTAGATGACATCATCATTGTCGGCCGTGACATCGAGGACCATTTGCGAAACTTGGAGCGAGTTTTCGCCAAAATAGAGGGAGCCAAATTAAAGTTGAACCCGAAAAAGTGTCGTTTATTCAGGAGCAAGGTCAACTATCTCGGCCATGTTATCTCCAATGATGGAATCCAGACAGACCCGGAGAAACTGGAAGCAGTTCAAAAATGGCCTACCCTTAAGGACAAAACCGAAGTGCGAGCATTCCTCGGCCTTTGCTCATACTACAGGCGTTTTGTTAAAGGATTCTCAGAGATAGCCAAGCCATTACATCGACTGACAGAAGATAAACGACAATTTAGTTGGTATGGGACTTGTGAAGATTCTTTTCAGAAATTGAAGAAACATCTATGTGAAACAAAACCACACCAATCCTGGGGTATCCACAATCTGAAGGTCAGTTTATAGTCGACACGGATGCAAGCAACACGGCCATTGGAGGGGTGTTATCTCAAAAACAGGGTGAAAGAGAAGTTGTTATCGCATATTTCAGCAAATCTTTATCCAAGCCAGAGAGAAACTACTGTGTGACAAGAAGAGAACTCTTGGCTGTTGTAAAGACACTACAACATTTCAACAAATATCTCATCGGCAGACAGTTTTTACTGCGAACTGTTCACGCAGCCTTGAAGTGGCTACTGCAATTCAAGAACCCAGAAGGTCAAGTAGCTCGATGGATTGAACAGCTCCAAGAGTATGACTTCAAGACGGAACACCGCAGTGGAAAGACGCATGGTAATGCCGACGCACTCTCACGAAGGCCGTGTTCAGAAGACTGCAACCATTGCGTCAAACAGGAATCTAATGAAGTAACATTAAAGCTAACGAGAACAAGTCCTTTGGGTCTCTGGGAGAATGATGCTATGAGGGAGGCTCAAGAAAGAGATGACCTTCGGCACATCATCACATGGAAGAAACGGGGTGACGTAAAACCAATCTGGAGTGAGGTTGCTCCCACTGGCGCCGTCACAAAGGCGTACTGGGCGCAATGGGACAGTCTGATACTTCATAACGGAATACTCTACCGGAAATGGGAGAAGACTAACGGCAGAGAGTTCCATCTTCAGATAATTGTCCCGAGAACGAGAGTACCAGATGTTCTCCGTGAAATACATGATGGCGTATCAGGAGGTCATCTAGGTGTCAAGAGGACGTTAACAAAAGTGCGAGAACGATTCTACTGGTTGCACTGTCGAGATGATGTACAGGATTGGTGCCGCAAATGTACTACTTGCGCTGCTGTAAAAGGACCACAGACCAGAAGCCGTGGGAACCTGCGGTTGTATAACGTCGGTGCACCGTGGGAACGAATTGCAGTTGACGTAGCTGGGCCATTTCCTGTAACGGAGTCGGGAAACAAGTATTTTATGGTCGTCATGGACTACTTCACCAAATGGCCCGAAGTGTTCGCCATACCAAACCAAGAAGCTACAACAGTCGCTTCTAAGTTAGTCGAAGAAGTGATATGTCGCTTCGGTGTGCCTCTAGAAATCCATTCCGATCAGGGCAGGAACTTCGAATCGCAAGTATTCAAGGAAGTGTGTAGAATTTTGGGCATGCATAAGACGAGGACCACCGCGTGCCACCCACAGTCTGATGGAATGGTTGAGAGATTTAACCAGACCCTTGAGAGGCATCTGGCGAAATTGGTAGACGACAAACAAAAGGATTGGGACAAGTATATACCACTCTTCTTTCTGTCGTACCGAACCGCCGAGCATGAGAGCATAAAAGCTACCCCGGCGTATGTCAATTACGGTAGAGAACTACGATTACCAGTAGACCTATTGACAGGGTCACCGGAGGGACCAGAGACCGTACAAGACATACAAAGTGGTTACCCGACTGAATGATGTGACTTATAGGATTCAAAAGCAACCAAGAGGGACATTCAAAGTGGTA